TGTTGCAAGTCTGATAGCCAAAAATCTATTTGACCTTGTAATAATTTCATGTTTAATAGCTCTAAAAGTTTTCTATTAAGGCCTATGAGAATTTTCTTACATCCAGACTTATATGTTTGCCATTGATAATCCTAGGTTCCTGAATGATCCAGTAAGAAAAACATTTCTATGACTCTATGAGCAATATCATCCCAAGGCTTTAGAGGTGGCTGTGATAGTTTATATTATTTTGACGTTTATTTGGTCAGAAATATTTTTAAGTAATTAAAATCTCAATTACAATACCTTTAAATTATTTCACAATTACATATACATGTTGGCAGCTAGAATCTTTCATTACTGTTTCTTCATAAGGTAAAAAAGTAATACAATCATGAATCTCATCATAACTGACAATTTTGATGTGAAGCTCCTACAAATGATTAAAGAATGTGATTGACATTCTTGAAGAAATTGTTAAAGAAAGTTGATTGTCCTGCCTCTATTCAAGACTTTCAAAAATAGTATGTAAAGAAATTACATAATTTTGTTCAAAACAGTTATGATTCAAAAGTTAACTTTAGTTCTTCAACTCTTCAGATCCAGTTTCTCAGGGGAACAGCCTGTTTCACACATTTCTATGTCTCCCTGCTCATATGAACCTATATACTAATAAATAGGAATTTTAATTTGTTTTGTTTTGTCTTCCACAAAAATTGGATCATATAATAACACATTATTCTGTACCTTGCTTTTTATACTTTCTGATGCATCATAGTAATTTTTCCAGATTTTTAGATACAATTTTTTTTTTTTTGAAATGAGGACTTGCTTTGTTGCCCAAGCTGTAGTGCGATGGTGCCTTCATGGCTCACTGCAACCTGTGCCTCCTGGCTCCAGCGATCCTCCCACCTCAGCCTCCCAAGTAGCTGGGACTACAGTTATGTGCCACTATGCCTGGCTAATTTTTGTGGTTTTTTTGTAGAGACAGGTTTTTGTCATGTTGCCCAGGCTGGTCTAGAACTCTTGAGCTCAAGTGATCCACCTGCCTTGGCCTCCCAAAGCACTGGGGTTACAGGTATGAGCCACCATGCCCAGTCCCCTATTTTTTTTTTATAAGATCAACTTACCATTCAAAATAAGGAGTTATCATTCCTTATTCTGTCAATCAGTCAGACACTTTAAAAATTTTTGTTTCTTCTGCAAGTAAGGCTATAGCTAATGGCCTTGTTTCTATATTCTTATACACAAGTATAATTACAGAGTTGATTCTCAAGTGTGATATTGCTTGGGCTATGCATGTTTAAAATTTTAATAAAAATCACAAATTGTTTGTCAGAAACCTACGACAATGCACATTTCTACCAACCGTGTATGCTAATAGGTAAGCAGTAATATCTCATTTTGCTTTATTTTTTTTTGACCACTTCCAAGGCTCAGTGCCATTTAATATGCTATTTTGCCATTTTAATTTCCTCCTCCATGAATTTCCATCATTGTTCATTTTCCTCTTTGGTTGTCTATTTTTAAATGAAAAAGCACCAGGATTTTAGAAATATCTTTTTTTTGGTCATATATATGAAAACATTTTTTTCTTGTCTATATTTTTAAATTATTTTTTAATACCAAAATTTAAATTTTTCTCCATGCTCAGAATTTCATTTCAAATATGTTCATGATATTATTGAAGTCAACCCCCAACTTTATTTGTTTTCATATATCATGAGAAGTCAAAGAATCAAAGCAATATATTCTCACAACCATGCACATTTTCTCCCTCTCTTGTTCATTCGTGTGTCTGTCACTCTCATAATCCTGTTTCAGCACCTATGAAGGCACTTCTGTGCAATACTTGGTTACAGACCTAGCCAATAATTTCTACACTGGAATATATATACATATTTTATGTAGGTGTTTGTCCCATTTCTCAGTTACCAATTTTACATTCTGAGTTCACAGCATTTGCCACCCCATCTCTACACTTAAAGCCACCATATAGCTTTTAATTACTTTATACGCATTTTCAGTCATCATCTAAATAATCATTTATAGCCATAAACTAACACTATTTAGTCAAGGAAGTACTTTTGTGAGCAAAAATTACAGATTTCTTGAACATGATTCCAGGAATAGTTCAGTTTTTACAATTAGTAATTGAGCCTTTGTCATATGAAGCAAGAAATCTGCTATTATTTTTAAAAATCAATTGTACATCAACCATAAAGAAATAGTATAAAAGCCATAAAAACACTACCCTTTATTGCAGTAAAATGTGGGACATTTTATTTCAGTTCCCAAGAAATTTCTTGTATTTAGAACTCTTGGACCTTCACTACTTGTAAATATGAGTCTATCCTTTACCTTACCATAGCTTTTACCCTAGGGATTTGGTACCTTTTATTTAAAAAAGGAAAATGCCGACAGTGAAAATTGAGATAGAAGTAGGAGATTTCAAGCACAGTGGCCCAGCAGGTGTGTGTTCAGGGCAAGTGAAGGTTCCCCTCCACTGGATTCAATGACTAAAGATTATGAGGGTACCAAAAATGCAAGAAGTCACAGGAAATATTTTTCCTCAATGGCAAAGATGACACAGTAGAATGGTTAAGAAGGACGGTTTATTGGCTTCAATTTCCCAGCTGATGTTCAACACTTTATTTAATTCTCACTTGAATTTTAAATTTTTGCTTGAAAAATAATTTCCCATCAATTTCCATTTCTTTAGAAAGCCCCTATGTGTAATTTATTGAAAATATCTCTGAAGAGCAGAATTATGATATTTCCCAGCTGTTGCTCCAGATCATGTAGGGTAGAGGAGGCTGAAGACTGCTACAAGGGAAGGCATCTGTATTGCCTCAAAACGTCAGGACGGTACGGATACTGCAATAGGAAAGAAGAGACTTGTTAACATTTAGAAACCCACATGCTTCCACGTGAGAGTCCAAGGAGCATCTGAGTTGTCTTAGTGAAAATCTGTCTGTGATCCCAGCTACGCTATTTATACATTTGGTTCAAGTCAAAGGAAGTTCATCCTTTTTGGTTTTCTCTTGTTTTTTATTTTTTTATTTTTTTATTTTTATTTATTCTCTAATCTTAATCTCACTCACAACGTTCTGAATATGCCTGTCATTTAGACTTCAATTCTACATTAGCATCTTCAAAAAATCATTTTTGCATGCCCACGTCCCTAGTATAATAAGGAATATAAAACAACACTAGATAATAACTTGCAGTAAGTTCTTACTATTTGTCACATTCTTTCTGCATTTTCTTAAACTTCAACCTAAACATCAACACTAGGAGGTAGGTTTCCATATTATTTCTGTTTTAGAGATTATAAAAACTGAGACTTAGAAAGATTTATAACTTGCTCTGGTAGCACATCTAGTATAGAGTGTTGGGATTCAAACCCAAATACAAATTTGCAAAAATCATAACATGAGGGATAACTTGCCTGAAAGAACTGATAATTTAACATAGTTAAGACCATGCTGGAAATTTAAAAGACCTTTGATACAGAGATGTTTAAGGATTCTTAGAAGTAGAGAATAAAGTCGATTTGTATTAATTCTAAGATTCTTCATTCTTGTGAAGATTACAAATGGAACATTTACACTAGAACTAATGCCCTTTCTATAAACCAACTTCTCATGAATAAATATTTTTAGAAAATGGTAGTTTTTGTGACTCTTTAATAATTTTAATTTTTAACATATATATGTATATGCATATGCATATATGAGAAAAATATATGCACATAATTCAGAGAATGCAAGACAGCAGAAAGAAGAAAGTAAAACTAATCCATAATTTCCCAACCTAGATATAATAATTCTCAATGTTTTCCTGAATTTCTATGAACTTTTTCTAGAAATATGTGCATGTTTTACTGTTTTTGATGAAAATTTGAGACATTGCATATACAATATATACAATTTATATTCTTCATTAAATGAGACTAAAATTACATCATGAGAATTTCCCAATGTAGTCATTTCTTTTTGGTGGTTTCATTCATTTCTAATAGATGACTGGAATTTATGAATTTATTTTCCTTGTGTTGAACTTTAGAATGTTTCTAAAGTTCTAACGAGTAAACATATATGTATATTTGAATAGTTGATTATTTCTGTAGAATAGGTTTCTAGAAATGGAATTGCTGGGGCAAATGATTCAGTTATTTTTTTAAGGGTTTCTGATACATATTACCAAATTGCTTTTCCAGAAGTATGTATCAATTACTACTGAAAGTACATGAAAGTGCCCAACTCACCTTATTCTTACCAATATTCAATATTACAATTTTAAATCTTTGCTTATTGATAGGATTAATTATATTTACATATGCATATTACTATATGACATTCTCATAAAATGAATTTAGGCATGCTTCATGACTTCTTATGTTGCTCAACACTGTCCTCTGGTTTTGTTCATCTCTATATTTACCATCATCTTTTCAATCTTATGATGATGATCCCAATGATGATATTGACAATGATAACTAACCTTTGATGACTACTGTTTTCCATATGTACACGCGCTTTTGAGGGACAGTGTGGTTCAATAGAAAGTGAATAGATTTGCTAATAACAAGGTCTACTTTTGAATCCTGGCTCTCCTTACTACCACTTGATGATTTTGGCAAAGTCATGTCTTTTCCGTGTCTCAGTTTCTCTTCTCTAAGATAGTGAGATAGAGACTGACACTGAGCACTGTTTGGAAATCACATGAGATAATGCAGGTAAGATACTTAGTAGAACAGCTGGTGGTCTGTGAGTGCTAGTTTCTTTCCTTCCTCAAGAATGTTGTCAGTTAAAGTATCTAGTATAATGATTGTGTGAATGCCAAAGAAATACTATTTAAAGTTGAAAATCTCATGAAAATAAGTGTGGGATAGCAGAAAAATCTCAGACTCTGGACTAGAAGACAAAGGTTAGATATAACTGTGTGTTTCCAGTTGTGCCTCATGTAAATGCAGGTGACAAAATGCATTTTATTAGCTGGTTGTAACTGTTAAATGTTAGAGATAGGAAACAGAATTGACTTATTTTTCTAAGCTTCGGAGAAAATGTACGACAAACATTTAAAATAGTGCTTAGTACTCTTCTCTTTTATGATAACTTATATTGGTAAAAAAGTTTTCTTAAACTATAAAAGAAAAAGAGAAAAACTAGTATTATCTACCTAGAAAACAATCCCAATGTAGTTCCACCTACTCCTGCAATGAAATTGTCGAAGACGTCCTGAAAATTATTTAAATATGCAGACACTTAGTGTCAGCTTTACATAGGTAGAAGGATGAGGATTCAAAGTCACCATGTTATAATTATGGTTGTTTAAACAGACTTATTTTTTGTGGGTTTTTTTTTTGTTTTTTTTTTTGCAAATGTGAGTGTTCTCTTTTAAGGAAGGCTGAGTGGCTCAGATCATTCAGATTTGCAGTAATCAACATAATTTGACTTCAGCAGAATAGGAAATGCAAAGCAACTGGTTTTAGCTTCTCACAGTATGATCCTACAAGTGCTCCATGCAAAGACTGAACAGGTAATGGAGAACCAAGAGACTATTTTTTCTCATCCTTCCACCTTTTTCATTCTCTGCTAGACAATCCCCTGTGGTAGAATAAAAAAAGCAAAACAGAAAACTAACTTAAACTCTACCTTTTCCCAGAGCGAAGCAGGTCAAAGCCTTCATTTATTTTTTCAAAAGGTAAAACATGGGTTATTAAAGCATCCAGTGAAAACTTCTTAGCCATAAAATCAGCCACAAGTTTTGGGATACCTTCTCTACTCTTAAAGCCTGAAAAGAAGACAGTATCATTGTTGATTCGACCAGGGTCAGTAGAAGAATTGAAGAAATTTTCCATATAAATACAAGTTTAGAAAAGGTGCTGCATTTCAGACTGCTATAACTGAGGAAAAGAAGAGATAGAGTACTTCAATATGCTTTTACAGTGCCTTGACGTAAAACAAATCACAGATAAACAAAGTTTCTTAGTTCTTTGGTCTCTAACATAGAAATAATAGTACAGATGTTTATGCCCAAAATTGAGGAGCAAATTTATCGGTTGTCTAGATTTGGGCGTAGATATGAAATATTGTTGTAGATTTCCATGTTCTACTAAAAATGTCCATGCCTTACACAGTCACAAGTACAAAAACAGATGGAGATGAAAGATCCTAGGTTATGGTGACAACAGAAGAGTTTATATTGGGACCTTCTGTCTGCATTAGTTCCATATCTAGTTGATTTGGAGACTGTAGATAGAAAAGGAATTTTAATTTATTTTTGATTTGTTTTCAAAACCGTGCCTTGTCAATTGTAGAAGTAGAGATATATTGATGTTAATGAGAATTTGGCACTTGAGCCCAACTACATACCACCATAAACAGCCCCCTTCCAGGTGCGTCCAGTCAGTAGCAGCATAGGGTTTATTGAGAGGTTCTGGGAATCAGGAGGTACCCCTACGATGACGCTTGTGCCACATGCCTCATGACAACATAATAGGGAGGCCATCTGGAATAAAGTGAATATTTGGCATCTTTAACGTGGAGTTGCATAGTTTTTACTCATAATGCACAATATCATGTAATAGGCTTAACTGGATTGTGAGTGTGTAGAGGAAAGAGATTATGTCTTTTGCTCCTTAATTCCCCTTTTCTGCATAGGATAGTGCTTTGGATTTAGGAAATGCCCAGAAAGTGTTTTTTTTTAATGAAAGAATGGATGAATAAATTGGAGTGCATTTAGTTCTTCCTAATAAAGGAATAAGGAGGCAGACATCATTATAAACATACATAAAGCGTAAAATTTCATCATCACGTAATTCTCAGGTGATCTGTGAGTCGGTTAAATCATTTTTCATTGATTTATTACATAGGTATTTTGAAGCCAGTACTTTCAACCAGATATTTTGACGGTGAACAAGATAAATGATTACATCACTGAAATTTGTCTCTTGTCCATTTGATGGTCTCCTTCTTAAGTGGATTCCTATTCTACTGTCCATTTCTCAAATGGACATGTTTTAAATGTTGTTTTATTATCTCCTGAAATACATATTGGTTTTACATTAAAATACACTGATTATTTGGAAACCTCAAGAGACAGTTCAGAAAATGTTTTCCAGTCAGCTTTTGGAACACGTTCTGTAGTTAGAAAATGGTTTAGGATCCCCATAGGTATATAATGATTAATTCTTTGATTTTGGATTCTGACCTTTGGAAGACCACACATCCTCAGAACATGTGGCTGTCAGACATTTGGTATCTTGAGATAAAGATAAGGTACGTTCGAGTTCCACATAAGAAAATGGATGAAAATATGGAAATAGAGCATAAAGAGAAAAGCTGTAGCCCTGGAAAAAATTGAATTCTTTTGACATTTTATTCCTCTGTGGCATCTGTCCCAGGTCAAGGCTGCCGAGAGCTTTGATCTTAGGGTGCCACTCCCTGTTATCCACACTGCTGGACCTTCTAGAAAACCTCAGCAATGGAAATTTATTGGTTTCTGGAGACTTTTTGAGTAGGATTCTAGAGAATTCTGGGTAGGTGAAATATAGCTAGAGATGTGTTTCCCATTGCAATTGATATTTGTAACTGTTTGGAAGAAATACCATGTAATAAGCCAAAGATGATGTAAGCACTGCAAGATTAGAAATAGTATTTCATATCAATAATGCCAACTGAGGCTGGGTGTGGTGGCTCGTGCCTATACTCTCAGCACTTTTGGAGGTTGAGGTAGGAGAATCGCTTGAGTCCCGGGGGTTGAGGCTGCAGTGAGTTATAATTATGCCACTGCACTTCAGCCTAGGTGACAGAGTGAGACCCTGTCTCAAAAAAAAAAAAAAAAAAAAAAGACAGCTGATATTTATCGGGAGTTTACCATATGACAGGCAGCACTGCGCTAAGTATATCACATGCGTTGTCTCATATAATCTGTAAGCAATGAACGCGCGTGGCAGTGATTCACGTCTTGAAAGGGACTCTCCGATTGCCTGGACAGAATCCCATGATCCGTATAGGCTTCAATATCTCATACAGTAACGCAAAGGCACAGTATTTGAAATAAACATAGTCGGACAAGGGCCACTCCAGGCAGCCTGAAAAAGGTATTCCCATTAAACCCCTCCGTAAACAATGTAGCGCTTGGTTCATGTTATCGTTCGTAAAGTTGTGACGCCGTATAGTCCCTCAGCTTTAAAAAACATACACG